AGTGAGAACTCCGAGGATCACACCCTCACAGTCTTGGAGTGTTTTGTTGCCAGTCTACTTAAAGGGTTACTCCAATACTTGATTGTATTTATTTTTTTGCAATTTACTTAAAAGGGTTTCAGCACTGGGGTAAGCTCTTCCGACTGCCTTCCACACCCTGTCCGTTACCATTCCTGTCCAATCAAATGCTTTTCATATTTATGTTCTGAGCCAGGAGGGAGGGGGAAGGTGGACAGAGGTGAGATAAAAAAAAAATTCAAAATGTAAGGAGGCAGGGAGGGAGCATACCGAAGGAGGGCAGGGACATACAAGCTTCGCCTTGCAATTGCACTTACAACGCTACTTACAAGGGTCAAAGCTGATTACGTCTGTTGTCAGTGCACAGTGTGTGTTGACGACAGATGTCTTTGCACAGTATTAACATTAAGCATTCCTGAACGTTCCAGGTTGCCTAAGTCACGTGTGCCGGCGGTGCAAGTATCCCTTGGGAAGGAAGTGTAGACACTCTTTATGTGCAACGTTTCGAGCAGAAACACTGCCCATACAGATACCTTGCTCCATGACCACTTCTAAAACCAAACTTGGTCATGGAGGTGGGAGTTATATTGCTTTTTGGTGTTAATATGTAAATGGTACAGTCAGGAGGCTTATTCTTGCACACAAACACATAATGGGTTTACAAACCTATACTCAACAAGACAGAAAGATACATGCTAACAACACGGGAACTAGAACATTTAGGGTTAAGGGTTACAATACGTTTAGGGATACATCTATCGTAACCGAAATCTAATGCTAACCTTAATTGTATCCTTAAATGTCTGTACTCCTGGTGCTGATGCCCTAACTGTCCAAGTATCCAAGCATGTACTTACCTTGCAAAACCTTCCCGAGAAGCCTTCTTCAGCCGCTGCATGTGCACGTTCCTAAGAGACCAGGTAACCCTACACACTGGCACATGGATCTGTTATTCATTCATTACAGTCTGACTCTCTGTACAGTGTCTGTGTGAGCCATAGTGTACAGGGATATGATGTCATACGTCACTCTATATTCCCCAGACTGTACATGTCAGCAGACCGCAATCCATAACAGGGGAGGTTCAAACCTCTGCTACATCACAGCACTGTGCAATGCACCGGAGCGTCCTTAAACTCTTTGAGTCACCTTCATGGCAGGTGTCTCTGCTCTGTCATTGTTCTCAGGCCTTTATCAAGCTGATATAAGAAATAGGAAGAAAAAAAACAATCTTGTATGTTTTAATTAAAGGAACACTATAGTGTTAGGAATACACATCTGTCTCTAGTGGTATTAGGCCGTCTCCACACTAACACCATATATAAAGGGTTTCAAATCTTTATTTACTCACCTTTTTTCAGAGCTGAGGCTCCCTGTGCTCTGCTTAGCTCTCCTCCTCCAGTGATGTCATGGAGAGTGCAGTGCCTCCTCCGCCGATGGTCCAGTCAAATGCTCCTCATAGAGGAGCATTGGGGTCCTAATGAGCAGTGAGCTTGACACAGCACTGAAGCAATGCTTTCCTGTGGGGCTTCCGCGTCAGTGCAGCACCTCTAGTGGCTGTGATACTGACTTAACCCTGCAATGTAATCATTGCAGTTTCCCTTGCATTGCAGGGTTAAGAAGACAGGGACAATGAACCCAGTGTCACATATCCATCTAACACTTTTCCCTCACCTGGTGCTCAGCGGCCGGAAGCTTGCAGTCCTGACTATCTCAGCATACAGTCTGGCACTGGCCGTTGCACATCCACAGGCAGAAATAACCCCGCGTGCGCACGTGAACGCGCTCACCGCACACGCACATTTTGGAGCCAAAATACCGGGATGACCAATGGGAAAGGGAGGATGGATATAAAAACCTAGTCTGACCTACACTCGGTGCCCTGTCGTGGTTTCCCATGTGGTTGTCCGAGAGCGCGTTCCTGTTTATAGTTTTCTACTGGTTTTTGACTTTAGCTTTGCTTATTGGCTTCTCTGTATTCTGGTATCCTGACTCCTGGCTTTCCTCATCGTTGCGTCCCTTTCTGTGTTCCCTGACCTTTTGGCTATTCTATGTACGTTAAATCCGGCCATTCTAAGGACCGGTAATATGTTACTTATTTGTCATCCAGGCTATACAGTTCTACGTGCTGGATCCTACAGTAATCTTGATACCCAGACCACTTCATTGAGACAAAGTAATCTGGGTGACTATAGTGTTCCTAGAAGTGGTTGCACTTATAGTTAAATATTTGTACATATATACTAAATTGTACGAGAACAAAAAATGAGTGATCTTATTCTTAACCTATAGGTGGGCGACTAAGTCCAGAGGTGGCCAAAATGTAGCCATCTAGCCGTTGTTGATCTCTAAACCACTTTGTGTCATGCCACCATTAACGATTGGCAAAGCATTATGGGAGCTTGTAATCTACCTTTTGGCCACTTTGAATTTTAGTGCAATATTGTGTTACATGCAGGAGATCACAGATGCAGCAATCCTTGATATCATTTGCACTGCCTTCATAAGTATAATTGGCCACTGGTACCTAGAGAACAGCATACAGAAAGTCAGTATTTTGTTTATTTTTGTAAGGGGGGGTGGGGGGTCTTCATTCTTCTGCCCCCAAGGAGGTGACCTGTTAGACCCCACCATTAACTTCTATTTTTATACATCAATTAAAGGTTCTCTTTGACCTGACACCATTTATTAACACTCCTAAAATATGAACGTTCATCAATATTTCAGAAACCTCTCGCCTAATCCACAAAGGAACAAAGCTGAAATTCTAGAATCCCTCAAAAAAAAAAAGTTACGCCTATTAATTGCTTGAGACTTTACACACTGCGATGGCTTTATGTCCGTGGTTAACTGGCCTGAGTAGGCCCGAGTGAAACCTGCGAGAGGATTTTATTGCTTTTAATGAATTTATACTTTTCCACCAACCTCTATTCTTTGATTTACAATTAAGAAGGAAACCCTGCAAAGAGGTCTCCAGATATAGAAGGGAAAAAAAAGAAAAGAAAAAGCAAATAATATATTAAAAGCACGGATAGAATAATAAAACTCGTGTTTCAGCTTATTCCCCACCCTTGCTGGCCCTTGTCAGGTCGTTAATTTTGACAGAAAACACAGTTCCTGTTTTTCCCTCCAAAAATCTCTCAGCTGTTAGCTTGGGGACAGCTGTTACCCTCTGGAACTAATTACAGCTGTCTGTGAGATTTAGGCCCCCTTGGTAAAACTCAAATATTGCTTCTAATTTTTAACGCGTACAGTTGGAAGATGTCATAACACCCCAGCCGCTGTGTGATAGAGATCCTTGAAAGCGTTCTCCATACACAGCTGCTACCGGACGGCATGCAATATAGCAAATTAACCACTTCCCTCCAAGAGGGACCAACACCCTCAATCTAACTTTTTTTTTTTTTTTTTTTAAAGGTGTCAGGTTTTTGTGTTTTAAAAAATATCCCGTAGATATGTTTTGTTTTGTTTTTTGGTATGGTAAACCTACCAAATATTTGGAACACAGACCTGGTAAAATAAATATCTTTTTTCTAAGTAAGTACCCCCTAACCCTTGTGGCGACATGTAAAAATCAGGTAGTTTGGAACAACGATGTTGTGTTCTAACAACACTTGGCATCTTAAACAAACCTTTCAACAGAGATGTTTTCAATGGATACCTACCTACAGTTTACTGCCAAGTTAAAAAATAGCCACATATATCCTGGAGAGCCGCGGAGATGTCCAGATGGGTCTAGCAGAAGATTTAATCAGATTAGGACATCATTTGGCTCGTCCTGGACACACTCTAAAATTATTGTTTTATAGCGTGAAGGAAGAACTTTTCAAAGCTGCTGTTTGTTATTATTATTTGCTTGTTAGAAATCTTTATCTTTACCGTTTTGTGACTTTGCATGGGGGCTTTCAGGGGATTCTTGGTGGTTCAATTTGCTTTCGAAACATTCTTAGTAAAAGCAAATGTTTTTATGTACAGGATTTTTTGTATTGTAAAACATATGCTTAAAGATCTTCTTGTCTCACATTATTTACTAATCTGTCATCTCTCTCTTTCTCCTCCTACAGGTGGATAAAGGGAGAGCACTTCAAGTACAAGTTCAGCCAGCCCTGGGGTACACATGCATCTGAGGGAAAGTGGTGGATTCGTAAAAGAATCGGCCCTTACTTCCCACCTGTCAATATCCCTGGACTCAAGAAATTCTTTCAGTCAAGATCTTGGCCTTTACCCCTAACTCCATAACATTCTAATGGAATCTACCAAAACATTTCTATTTTTTTGTAGCTGATTGTTTTTCAGTTTATACTTTTATAAAATTATGCAGGGGATATTTAATAAAAGATTTTTTTTTGTTTCTGTGGTCACCTCTCCACATTCAGAACTTTGCCTTGGAATATGATTTTAATAATCGTTATACATGCCCTTACTATGTGATCTGTGTGTATTTTCTATGGAATATGAGCAAATTGCTCTTTTATCTCAGAAATTGTATATAATGTAAGCGTGTCTCCAAACAATACTATCTCTCCAGGATAAGTCCCATGGTGTAATAATGTCAAGGTACTCTGTGAATTATAATTTGTTGGGAACTTCATAACACACATCTAATAAACACACTCATGCAATCTTAATTTGATTAATGTATTACGTACTATATCTCTTTTGGTTACATGTAATACAATTGACCTGTAACCTATAAATGTTATAGCATGAAGTTTTTTTCGTTAAAATATTTGCACAACTCAGTAGCCAACTAAAAGTTAGGTACAGTGTTCTTTCCTGTTGGTTTTTTGTTTTGTTTTTTTACAAACAAAAACTTTTTATTATACATTTGTGAGTATGGAACCCATCATTGCTATATTAATTTGGACGGATGCATGAATAAAACTTCTCATTATGACAGCAGCTACGTAATGGCCAAACTATGGTCAGTGGTTTTAGTGCTTAGATTTTAAACAAAGATATGTTGAAAGATTTCAGGGTTAGTCCATTAAAAACTAGGAACATAGACGTGAAGGCTGCAAAAATATATATAGTACATTTCAATAATCGACCTGGAGGTACAATGCGTATTTCCAATGTACGTGTGAGATGTTTGATGTGATGGTATCGAAGTTATCAGGTGTGCAGGTTCTCTGACACCCCTCTACTGAACCCCCTTGTGTGTCTGTGATACAAATTGCGCTGGAACGGAGTCATTGAGAGATTTGCACCCAAGGCAGTTAGAGATTTGTAATGCACGACAACCTGCTGCTTTCAGTATCAGCCAGTTGTGCATTGTGAATGCTCAGCGCTATTGTGCTATGCTCAGGAATTCCCTGCAAAACATGTCCCAGCTGTTATGTTCTGTGCACATAATAAAATCTTAAGCCCTCTTTCTCCTTGGTATGCTGTCTATTAGCTGCCTGCTAATGACCGACATGACTGCAATCAGCAAACGTTTATCTCCATTTCAAGGAGACAGTGAGTATGCTTACAGAAGCGTTAAAAGATAAATTCTTAAAGGGGCACTCTAATTATCCTATCATGCTGTAATACCTTAAAAATCAGCAAGAACATTCATTCCAGAATAATAAAAGATGCAAATAATACTTTAATGTTCCTTCTTTGCCCACTGTAGGAAGTAGATTGTCCAATCAGGAGCTTCTCATTCTGCTCATTAGAACCTGCACCATTGCGCATGTTTAACCCAACACTGTGTGGCTTAAAGTTTAGGAGAAGAGCCTGACTTGATTGAGTTGTCTGGGTAACTAGTGTCATTTTAAGATGCAAAATGCCGTGACAAAGTTAAAAATTATACAAAATTGTGTATCTAAAAAAACGCAGCTATAAAATGCTTATACGAACACTATAGGGTCAGCAATACAAACATGTATTCCTGGTACTTCAGTGTTAAAGCCACCATTTACCATTTAGGTGCGGGCAGGGTAAAAAAATATCCTCACAGCAGATTGTGAAGCAGGAGGGCTTTCCTTAGTGTGGGAGGGAGGGAGGGAAAGGAGAGAAGAGCTTCTCCCTTGCAGTGCACACTGATGACAGATGTAGTGTGAATTTATGCACAGATTTGATATTAAGCATCCCGGATAGGAGTTTTTGGTTGCCTTAGTCACGTGCTGGGGTTGTAACTACCCTCCTGCACACATTTAAGAATATCTCTGGATGCACACTGTTTCTGGTTGGCTTTCAGCCTATCACAGCGCCCATTGCTGAATTGAATTGGTGAGGTTAGAAGGAAGTTAATGCCCTGGCCTCATCTGCAGTAAGGGCCGAGCAGTGGGCATCCAGGAACCCTCGTTCGGTGTTTAAACTGCTTGGAAATGGTTAAACACCGAATGGAGGGACAGTGCCAGGAAACTCCACGCACTATAACCAATCCAATGAAATGAAATGGTTATAAGTGCCTACAGTGTCCCTTTAATTTTAAGAATGTTTTACGTAACTATTCCGAAGCCTTCTTATACTTCTTGCATCCAGCTGAATGGGCTTTATTGTACATTAGGGCCCAGCGCTGTTTCCAATATCATATCACGGCCCATAAGAGCCTGGCTTAGATCAGATTTGTTTATCACGTTTGAGACTTTGGCACACTTTGTGACAGCTCTTTCCTGGATTATTATCTTGACACACACAAGAAGTAAAGGAAAATGTGCAGAAGTCACGTTACTGGTGTTTACATTCGTCTTTCTGAGCCCTCCTATGGTGCAACTTAACCAATTATTAAAAGGCTGGTTGGAGGCATTGAAGCACAATGTCCCTGGCATTCATATTAAACCATTGATGTATATTTATATATGATAGTTATAATCGTCCAGATTCATTAAGACAAAACTACAATAATAGTTTTACCAACTAAGCTAATTTTCAATTAGTAAGAAGGCTGAGTGACATAATCTGTCCATCAATCTATCCAAAAAATAAAACCAGAAAACGCTGCTTTTATAATACTGAGTTTTAGTAAATATATTGAACTCCATGGATGATGTTGAGACTTAAAGTAGCTCTGTCACCCAGATATTTTTTTTAAATTTTTTTAAAGACACAATCTATACAATGCTCACAGAGAATGGTATGGTCAGGGCCGTCTTTAACAAGGGGCAAACGGGGCAGCTGCCCCGGGCCCAATAACTCTTGGGGGGCCCAAAGCAGCTGTCCCGTGGGCACCCTGCCCGCAACCAGGACTGAACAGCCCACCGGGATACTGAGAAATCTTCCGGTGGGCTGCGGCAAGTGAAGTAATAAGGGCCCCCCCCTGGCCCTTTAAGAGAGCACCTGACCGAGCCCCTGTCTTCCTGCCTGCTGGGAGGAAGTGAGGTGAGATCACTTCCTCCCAAGTAACAGAGTACCGCTGGGGAGGAGGAGACACACATGGAAGTGGAGGAGAGGGAGGATGCACACAGGAGGAGGAGAGGGACTGAGGTAAACATGTTCATCAGACTCCCATCAACCTCAGCCATCCAGCTTCCACTGGACCACAAGAGGGTGGCTAGACTTAAATTGATATAAATGTGTGTATATCTGACTGTATGTGTGTGTATCTGACTGTGTGTGTATATCTGACTGTGTGTGTGTATATCTGACTGTATGTGTGTATATCTGACTGTGTGTGTATATCTGACTGTGTGTGTATATCTGACTATGTGTGTTTATCTGACTATGTGTGTGTATCTGACTGTGTGTGTGTATATCTGACTGTGTTACACGTGAGTTTACAGAGGAAGAGGTTCTATTTCAACTGTCAAAAGTAAAGACAAATAAGTCAATGGGACCTGATGGAATACACCCAAAGCTATTAAAAGAGCTTAGTGGTGTACTAGCAAAACCATTAACAGATTTATTTAACCAATCATTGTTAACAGGAGTAGTCCCAGAAGATTGGAAGTTAGCAAATGTTGTGCCCATTTACAAGAAAGGTAATAGGGAGGAGTCGGGCAACTATAGGCCAGTAAGCCTTACTTCAGTAGTGGGGAAAGTGATGGAAACCATGTTAAAGGATAGGATTGATGAACATCTAAAACACATGGATTTCAAGATCAGAGACAACATGGGTTTACTTCAGGGAGATCATGCCAAACTAATCTTATTGATTTTTTGATTGGGTAACTAAAATTATAGATCAGGGTGGTGCAGTAGACATTGCTTACCTAGATTTCAGTAAGGCTTTTGACACTGTTGCACATAGAAGGCTTATCAATAAACTGCAATCTTTAAGTTTGGATTCCAATATTGTTGAATGGGTAAGGCAGTGGCTGAGTGACAGGCAACAGAGGGTTGTAGTTAATGGAATATATTCGAAGCTTGGACTTGTCACCAGTGGGGTACCTCAGGGATCTGTACTTGGACCCATTCTCTTTAATATTTTTATTAGTGATATTGCAGAAGGTCTTGATGGTAAGGTATGTCTTTTTGCTGATGATACTAAGATATGTAACAGGGTTGATGTTCCAGGAGGGATAAGCCAAATGGCAAATGATTTAGGTAAACTAGAAAAATGGTCAGAATTGTGGCAACTGACATTTAATGTGGATAAGTGCAAGATAATGCATCTTGGACGTAAAAACCCAAGGGCAGAGTACAGAATATTTGATAGAGTCCTAACCTCAACATATGAGGAAAGGGATTTAGGGGTGATTATTTCTGATGACTTAAAGGTAGGCAGACAATGTAATAGAGCAGCAGGAAATGCTAGCAGAATGCTTGGTTGTATAGGGAGAGGTATTAGCAGTAGAAAGAGGGAAGTGCTCATGCCATTGTACAGAACACTGGTGAGACCTCACTTGGAGTATTGTACACAGTACTGGAGACCGTATCTTCAGAAGGATATTGATACCTTAGAGAGGGTTCAGAGAAGGGCTACTAAACTGGTTCATGGATTGCGGGATAAAACTTACCAGGAAAGGTTAAAGGATCTTAACATGTATAGCTTGGAGGAAAGACGAGACAGGGGGGATATGATAGAAACATTTAAATATATAAAGGGAATCAACACAGTAAAGGAGGAGACTATATTTAAAAGAAGAAAAACTAACAACAAGAGGACATAGTCTTAAATTAGAGGGACAAAGGTTTAAAAATAATATCAGGAAGTATTACTTTACTGAGAGGGTAGTGGATGCATGGAATAGCCTTCCAGCTGAAGTGGTAGAGGTTAACACAGTAAAGGAGTTTAAGCATGCATGGGATAGGCATAAGGCTATCCTAACTATAAGATAAGGCTAGGGACTAATGAGTTTTTAGAAAATTGGGCAGACTAGATGGGCCGAATGGTTCTTATCTGCCGTCACATTCTATGTTTCTATGTTTCTATGTGTGTGTGTGTGTATCTGACTGTGTGTGTGTATATCTGACTGTGTGTGTATCTGACTGTGTGTGTGTGTGTATCTGACTGTGTGTGTGTATATCTGACTATGTGTGTGTATCTGACTGTGTGTGTGTATCTGACTGTGTGTGTATATCTGACTGTGTGTGTATCTGACTATGTGTGTGTGTATCTGACTGTGTATATCTGACTGTGTGTGTATATCTGACTGTGTGTGTATGTATCTGACTGTGTGTGTGTGTATCTGACTGTGTGTGTATCTGTATGTGTGTGCGTTTGTATCTGGCTGTGTGAGTGTCAGTGTGTGTGTATCTGGCTGTGTTTGTGTCAGTGTATGTGTACATTTGTGTCAGTGTTTATGTGTATCTATGTTGATGTATACTTGTGTCCGTGTACTTGTGAGTCAGTTTGTATGTGTACCTGCGTGTCTGTGTATGTGTATCTGTGTATGTATATGAGTGTCAGGTTGTGTAAGTGTGTATCTATGCGTGTGGCAATTCATTCCAGTACCAACACTGCACACATATACACTACTACATTCCAACGCTAACACTGCACACAAATACACCACTGCATGTGTATCTGTGTTCCTGTGTGTATCTCAGTGTTTGTGTAAGTGTGCATCTGTGTGGCAATGCATACATCCCATCATTCCTTCGCCAACACTGCACACAAATACACCCCTGCATGTGTACCCGTGTGTCTGTGTGCATCTTAATGTGTGTCTATATCTGTGTCAGTGTGTGTAAGTGTGTATCTCTGTGTGTGGATGTACCAGTGTTTTTATCTCTGTATCAGTGTGTGTGTGTATGTATGTATGTGTCTGTGTGTGTATACGCCAGTCTGTTTGTATCAGTCTGTGCATGTGTCCAGATGTGTGCATGTATCAGTGTGCTAATGTGTATGGATATCTGTGAATGTATGTCATACATCCAAGCAATCAAACACAACATGCAAACACAAACATTACATACAAACATGCCCCTGAATTCAAACTCAAAAAGTATATAT